ATCTTCTCAGTTTCTAGTGCTTTTTCACCACCAAAAAAGCTGTATGAATATTTTTATACCTATGAATCTTTTTCCTGTTTCTTTGATTTGGCATATAGCCCTGGTAGTGGTATCACCAGGCCAGTGGTTATTCACAGTTGAATAGATTTGGGGGCATCATTCCAAATCATTTTCCAGAATGGCTGGACAAATTCACAACTCCATCAACAATGCATCAATGTACCTGTTTTGTCACAGTCCATCCGGCATCTGTCATTTTGGGGGTCAACTTTGCCAATCTGATGAGTGTGAGGTTGAAGGTTTTTTTTTTTAAATCCTTCTAATTATTTGTAATTTAAAGTATTTTTTTTTCTTATGCTTGTCAGTAGCTATGGCAGATGAGATCAGCAAAGCTCAGACTGCCCAGCCCAGGGGAGACACCATCTTCTGGAAAACAATTTGCAAGAAAATCCTGGCCAAAATAATTTTTTTTCTTTTTAGGCAATTGGGGTTAAGTGACTTGCCCAGGGTCACACAGCTAGTAAGTGTCAAGTGTTTGGTCTGAGGCTGGATTTGAACTCAGGTCCTCCTGACTTCAGAGCCAGTGCTCTATCCCCTGCGCCACCTAGCTGTCCCACCCAAATCATTTTGAAGATGACTGGTGTCTTGCTTTCCATAATATTTGCCCACAAGCCCCAACTCATTTCCTGGTGATACCTAAGAAAGCCATTACCCAGATATCTGTTGCAGAAGAGGATGATGAAAATCTTCTTGGACACTTAATGATTGTTGGTAAGAAATGTGCAGCTGACCTGCGTCTGAAGAGAGGATACCAAATGGTGATCAATGAAGGTGTAGAAGAGGGGCAATCTGTCTATTATATCCATCTGCACATCCTTGGAGGATGTCAGATGAAATGGCCTCCTGCATGAATTGTTGTTGGAATGATTTTTTTTTTTAATTTAGAGAACAAGGCAGGTTTACTACATATATGTTAAGCTAAGTATATACTTAATGTTTTCTGCGAAACAAGAAATTGGGAGATCACTTCAAAATGTACACAATAAAGGAGTTATCTGTTCCCTATGGGGGAAAAAGAATTACAAGTATCATCTTCCCATGTAGGATGTAAACAGCTGAGATCTATTGAATCTGTTCTGGGTTTTTTCCCTTTTTCACATGTGTATGTTTCTTTTGGGTCTTGATATTGGAGGTCAAAGTTTTGGTTTAGTTCTGGTCTTCTGCTTATCAAGGCTTGAAATCCTATTTTGTTTGAATGATTATTTTTTTTCTCTTGATGTATTATGTTTAATTTTGCCAGGTAAGTGATTTTTGGTTGTAGTCTCAGCTCCTTTCCCTTCCAGAATATCATGTTCCATGGCCTCAATCCTTTAATGTTTCAGCTGCTAAGTCCTATGTAATCCTGATTGTGACTCCTTGATATCTGAATTGTTTCTTTCTGGCCACCTGCAGTAATTTTTCCTTCACTTGACAGTTCTGAAATTTGGCTATAATGTTCCTTGGGGTTTTTATTTTGCAATCTCTTTCCTGAGGTGATCGGTGGATTCTTTCAATGCCTATTTTGCCCTCTGGTTCTAGGACATCAGGGCAGTTTTCCTTGATAATTTCTTGAAAGATGCTATCCAGGTTGTCCTTTTGATTATGGCTTTCACATAGTCTAATGATCCTGACATTGGCTCTCCTGGATCTATTTCCTGTGTCAGTTGTTTTTCTCATGAGATATTGTATATTTTCTTCCATTTTTTCATTCTTTTGAATTTGTTTGATTGATTCGTGATGTCTCATAGAGTCATTAGTTTCCACTTGCCCAATTCTAACTTTTAAGGTTTTTTTTCTAATGAAATACAGTTCTCAAAACAGGTTTTTTATTTTAGAGTTCACAGACCCCAGGTTAAGAACCTTTGTTTAATGCTAAGAAAAAGGTCACCCAGGGGCAACTAGGTGGTGCAGTGGATAGAGCGCTGGCCCTGGATTTAGGAGGACCTGAGTTCAAATACGGCCTCGGACCCATAACACTTACTAGCTACCCTGGGCAAATCATTTAACCTCATTGCCTAGCAAAAAAAAAAAAAAAAAAAAGCAAGCAGCATAAAACCATCAGCAATCATTTTATGTAATGGGAAAAAGCTAAAAGCCTTCCCAACACAATCAGGGGAAAAGCAAAGATGCCCATAATCACCTCTGTCATTCAATACTGTACTAGAAATGTTAGATATACAGAAGAAAATAAGACAAGAAAATGAAACTGAAGGAATTAGAATAGGCAATGAGGAAACAGAACTATCACTCATTGTAGATAATATGATGTTATACTTAGAAAATCCTAGAGAATCAACTAAAAGCTACTTGACATAATTAACAACTTTAGCAAAGTTACAGGATTAAAATGAACCCACACAGATCATCAGCATTTCTATATATGACCAACAAAGCCCAGCAGGAAGACATAGAAAGAGAAATTCCATTTACAGGAACTGAAGACAATACAAAATATTTGGAAGTCTACCTGCCAAGAGAAACCCAGAGACTATAAGAACACAATTACAAAATAATTTTTACACAAGTAAAGTCAGATCTAAACAACTGGAAAAATATCAAGTGCTCATGAGTAGGCTAAGCCAATATAATAAAAATGACAATTCTGCCTAAACTAATTTACTTATTCAGTGCCATACCAATCAAATTACCAAAAAATTATTTGATAGAGATAAAAAAAAATAAGAAACAAATTCATTTGGAAGAACAAAAGGTCAAGAATATTAAGGGAATTAATGAAAGAAAAAATCTTCTCCAACATTTATCATTTTCCTTTTCTGTCATATTAGCCAATCTGACAGGTATGAGGTAGTATCTCTGAGTTTTTTTTAATTTATATTTCTCTAATCATTAGTGAGTTAGAGCATTTTTTCATATGACCAAAAATAACTTTGATTTCTTCTTTGGAAAATTGCCTATTCATAACTTTTTGACCATTTACCAATTGGGGAATGACTTGTAAATTTGACTAAGTTCTCTATATATTTAAGAAGTGAGGTCTTTATCACAGAAACTTGCCATTAATTTTTTTTTTTCTGAGTTCCCTGCTTTCCTTCTAATCTTAGTTGCTTTCACAGGTTTTCCCTATTGATTCTATTGAAATTCTTGACCTTTTGTCTTTGTGGATAAAAATTCTACCTTCTCATTTTACAGATGAGGAAGGAGGGGCTCATGGAGTCTAAATTCTTGCACAAAGCCACACTAGTAATGCCCAACGTAGGGTCCAAACTCAGGCTTACAACCTGGGTGTCAGCCTCAGCTCCTAACTCCTGACTCTTTAATCAGCAGTCAAGTCTTTGCATTTCTACCTCACACCTTTCCTATATGCCCCCTTCTATCTTCTGATAATGCTGCCACCCTGGTCCCTGCCCTCATCACTTCATGTCCAGGCTACTGCAAGAGCCTCCTGATGGATCTCCCTGCCACAAGTCTGTCCCTGATCCAGTCCATGGCACTCTCAGCTGTTCAATTGAGCCTCCTCTGTCTGAGGTCTAGTCATGTCACCTCCCTTGTCACTAAACTCCAGTGGTTTCCCATTCTAGAATCAAATATAAAATCCTATTAGGTTTTCTAAACTCTTCCTAACCTGGCTGCCTCTTACCTTTCCCATCATTCTGCACTACTTTAACACACCAACAATCTATCTCCTCACTCCAAGCATTTCTACCTGTTTTGCCTCATGCCTGGAACTCTCTCCTTCCTCCTGCTCATTTCCTGGCTTCCTTCAGGTCCCACCTAAAATCTCATCTCCATTCAGCAAAAACTTTGCCCCCATCCCCCTTAATCCTAGAACTGACCTTTTGCTGATTAACTCCAACTTGTCCTGCCTACATATTGTTTGTACATTGCTAGGTGCCTGCTGTTGTCTCCCACTGACTGAACTCCTTGAGAGTAGAGGCTGATTTTCCCTATCTTTGTATCTGCACCACTTAGCACAGTGCCTGGCATACAGAAGGTGCTTAAAAATGCTTGGTGACTTACCCTCAATAAGAGTGAATGAATGAGAACATGGATGGAAGGTCGGTGGTTGTTCAGTCATTTCATTCGTGTCGGACTCTTCTGTGACCCCATTTAGGGTATTCTTGGCAGAGATACTAGAGTGGTTTGCCATTTTCTTCTCCATTTCATTTTATGGATAAGGAAACTGAAGCTGACCAAGTTCTGTGACTTATTATTGCTAATAACCTGACTGGCACTGCAAGAAATAGTGACTTTCTCTTGTCAAGATATTCAGAGACACTCTATTTTTCAGAGCTAAATCCAAGCAACCAAGCTGTGCCCTGAGCTTGGCATAACAGTGATCCTCTGTGGTCATCATCTGGGTGATCTCACCCTCTGGCAAAATCATATAATTATTGTATTGCTTTGACAAACACCAGGTGTTCTCTGAGCTCAGACAAGCACCAGACAAGTACTCATGTTCTGGTCATGAAGTGTTGTTATGAGTCAAACTTGTCACATTGGTGCTATTACCTCTCACAGACCTGAGCTCAAATCCAAGTTCAGGCACTTGCTAGCTGTGTGACCCTGGGCAAGTCACTTCACCCTAGTTTCCACATCTATAAAAGAGGGTCTATAACAGCACCTGCTTCCCAGATTGTTGTGAGGAGCAGATGAGACAGTCCTTGTAAAGTACTCAGCCCTGCCTGGAACACAGGAAGCTCCCCCTAAACGTTAGCTCTTAGTTTTACTGAGCCCATCCACCAGACAACGGGCATTTCCCAGGCACAGCTACATGCTCTCCACGTCTCCTGGTTTCCCTCGGGTCAGTCTCCTTGACGGAGGAACCAGACACAAAGGAACACGGCCTCGCCCTGGCCGGCACCCCCTTGACCTCTCCTGCTGCCCCGGGCCCACTCGTGTCCTGCTCCTCCTGGAAGCCCCAGGGAGCCGAGCCAGCGGTCCACGCATCCAGCCCCAGCCCCTGGTTTCCCTCCTCAGAGCCGAGGCTTCCCTGTGTGTTTTCGTCACTTCCTGCCGGAAGATATCAGTGGACAGGAAGCATTTCATTAGAGCCGCGGCCTGTTGCGCCTGGCTGCCGGAGTGGGAGACAGCGCGGATGGAGTAGCCTCGGAGGAGCCTCAGGACCCCTCGAGGTCTGGGACCCCACGCCTGGTGACTCTCCGTGGGTTCTGAGGCTGGGAAGACCACGCACGAGGTAAGGCGAGGAGCGGAGGGGACGTGGCTCCTGGCGGGAAGGGGCGGGGCCGACAGGGAGGCAGTACCGCATTCCAGGCCGGGGGAGGGGCCGAGCCCCAGGCATGCGCAGAAGGCGCCTCAGCCTCCAGACTACCATTCCCAGAAGGCCGTGCTCACCTCTCCAAGCCTAAGGGCGGGAGGACTGGACTTCCATCTTACTGCGACACTTCCGCTTCCTTTTTTCTCCGCCTCTTTCATGCTTGCTAATTCCCGCTTCTCCTTCTCTGTGCTGAGCTGACGTGTGACGGGGTGAGCGGGGGCCGAAAGCGGGGCCGGGCCCAGGCGGATCCGATGCGGGGTGCGGCGGGATCGGAGCACCGGGGGTTTATTGGGGAGCACCCGGAGAACGGGAGGAGCGTCCGCCAGAGGAGGAAGGAAGCCCGGGCGGGGTCTCAGAGTTCGGGGGGGGCGGGGTGGAGGCCGAGCAGGAGGAGATGGAGCCTGGGGGCGGATTCTAATCCTCCTTCATTCACGCCCGCATCCCCTGCCCCCTCCCTGATCTTCCCTTAATGGAGAAGTGGGAATGTCTGGTTTGAGCAGGGCAGACCCCCAGCGTGACCTTCATTCTCCTGCTTCTCCTTTCCTCCCCAGCTCTACCTTCGGTGGCCTCTGCTGTGCCCCAGGAGGACAGCCTGGAGGAAGAGGGAATGGCTCCTGCCCTGACAGCCAGGCCCAGGAAGGTGAGTGTCACTTGCCGTTTTCCTGAACTAGCGTCTCAGGCCAGAGACAGTGGGATGGGTTTCTTTGTCCTGTGGTGTAACACTAGAAATTGTGGGCATCGAGAATCATATAACTACAGACACTGTCCTCTCCACACACACAAAAAACCCTAATTACATTTACTTTTTGTTGTTGTTTTTTTAAATTTTGTGTTCTAAATTCTTTAGCTCCTTCCAATCCTTTCCCCACCCATTGAGAAGGCAAACAATAGGACGCCCATTTTTCCTGGGAAGTAATGCAAAACATTTCCATATTAACCCTGATCCAAAAAAATGGAAGAAAGATGAGAGTGAAAAAGAATGTTCTTTAATCCTCATTCAAAGTTAATCAGTTCTCTCTTTGTTTTTTGTAATTGGACCTTTAAACTTTTCATGGATCATTGTATTCATCAAAGTAGCTGAGTCTTTCACAGTTGATTATTACTGCTGTTACTGTGCACAGTCTATTCCCAGTTCTCATTTTTCACATTTATTGATTTTATTTTTAATTTATGGGATAAAACAAGCATTTTTATAACACATAGTGTAATAAAAAATATAATTGCATATGAAATTGCAAATTTGTTACGTTCAACTCGTTATTCCTTTTAAATACAACAGTACCATGCACTTTTTTTCTTTTTTTCTCCCCCTCCCTCCACATGGCTACCATTAGACACAATTAGATGTGTGTGTGTTTGTGTCTGTGTGTGTGTATGCATGTATTTGTGTATATATATAGTATATACATATATATGTGTACCTATGTAAAATTATTCTATATATACTTTTATTTATCAGTTCTTTTTCTGGATGCAGATAGTGTCTTCATATATCCTTCATAGTCAATTTGGGTATTTATAGTAGTCAAAATAAGTTCTTAATTCAAATTTGTTCTTAAAACAATATTGCTGTTAGTATATACGGTGTTCCCTTGGTTCTGCTCGTTTCATTCTTCATTATTATGTGTAAGTCTTTCTGTGTTTTTGTAATATCATTGTGCTTATCGTTTCTTATACTATAGTAGTGTTCTATCCCAATCATATACCACAGCTTGTTCAGCCATTCCCTTATTGATGGGCATCCTCTCAATTTCCAGTTCTTTGTCACCCGAAAAAGAGTTGTTGTAAATATTTTTGTACGTGTGGGTCCTTTTTCCTTTCTTAAGATCTCTTTGGGATACAGACCTAGCAGTGGTATAGCTGGATCAAAACATATGCAGTTTTATAGCCCTTTAGGCATGTTTCCAAATTGCTTTCTAGAATGCTTGGATTGGGGCCTTGGTTGCTGATCTGTGCTGTGGCTAAGAGGCTCCTTCTGGCTTGTCCAGATGCCACGTGTTCCCTTTTACCCAAGTGGGAGAGATCTTTCCTGAAGTCCTTCTAAATTATCTTAAACTGTAAAATTGTTTCACTCAGTCTTTTTGTAGGTTCTGTCACTCTAGAATCTGTTGAGAGGCTTGATTTAACGTTATTTCTGAAGGAAACTGGGGAGAACTGAGGCAACTTCCTTACTTCTCTCTACCATCTTGGTATAATCTCTTAAAGACGAAAACAAGTCCTTGAAAGCTAGAATTGGGCAAGTGAAATTGAATAACGTTAGAAGACACCTGGAAGTAATTAAAAAAAATTAGAACGTGGAACATCTCATTAGAGAAATAATGGAGAATAGATCAAGGAGAGACAATATAAGAATTGTCAAACTACCTCAAAGTTATGATCAAAAAGCTAATCTGGATACACTATTACAAATAATTATTAAGGAAAATTGCCCTGAAATTTTAGAACAAGAGGGTTATGTAGAAATAGAAAAAAAATCTATCGTTCGCCACCTGAAAGAGATCCCAGATAGAAAACTTACCAGAATGTCATAGTCAAGTTTCAAAACTCCTAGGTTAAGGAGAAAATATTGCAAGCAAGAAAAATAATTTTAATACTGTGGGAATATACTTTTTCACAAAACCTAGGAGCTTCAACACTAAAAGACCATGGGTCTTGGAACATTATGTTTAGAAGAGCAAAGAGCTGGGGCTATTCCAAGAATCATTTACCCTGCAAGGTTGAGTATAGTCCTGAATGAAAAAAAAAAGTGGTCATTTGACGAACTGAAAGACTACAGGATTTGTAAGGAAAAGACCAGAACTCAGTAGAAAATGTGATATTAAAGATCTGAGGAAATAAAAGGCACACTTGAAAGACTATAAGGCACTCCTAATGTCAAACTGTTTCTTTATAATATGTGAAAATGGTATGAATATTCTTAAAACTGTCATTATTACTAAGGTAGTTTGAAAGAAGGGTTGGAGCTGTGTATGAAGGGGTGATTCTAACAAAATTGGGCAGGAAAAGGTAAAAAGGAGCAATTTTCTCATAAAAATGAGGCATGAAAGGAAGAGGATACAGGGGAAGCTGGTAAGGGTGGAGGGCTGATAATTTTGGAACCTTTGAAGAGAAAACATTGTACATCTGGAGGGATGTAGAAGTCTTCTGAACTTGCAGAGAAGTGAGAAAACTGGGGGACAGGCTGAGAGAGGCACTTTTAGAAGGATGCAGGGAGAAGATAAGGGAAGGGAAGGTCTGTTGGAGGGGTGTGTAGATCAAGATTAGGAGGGTAAAGGGGTAAAAAGAGGCTGAGAAGAAGAGTAAAGATAAGATGGAGAGAAATTCAAAAAGTAATTATAAACTTTGAATGTGAATGGGATGAACTCACCTATAAAATGGAAATGGATAGCAGGCTTTATTAAAAATCAGAATCCAGCAATATGTTGTTTACAGGAAACACATTCAAGAATGAGAGATATACACAGAGTGAAAATGGAGGCTTGGAGTAGAATTTGTCACGCTTCAGCTGCTACCAAAAAGGTAGGGGTAGCAATTATGATCTCAAAGTTATGGCTAAAATAGATTTTAATAAAAAGCGCCACAGTAAATGCATTCATTTAAATTTTCCTTTTAATTTTAAACTTAAATACAAAATAAGGAAAGGAAAGAAAACATTGCCATGTGCATAGTAGAACATGAGAAGATTTAAAATATAAAAATGAATTTCCATTTCAAGCAAGCCTGTGAAAGAAATACTACTCATTTGTGTTTGGAGCTGTCCTTTTTTTCTTTGCTTCCTTGTATGTTTTGTGCCTTGCACTTTTTATCTAGATATATACATATGTACATTCATGTGTATCTATGTAAGACCATATTATATTTGTTTTTTTCCCCTAATAAATTCTACTCCTGATCATTATTTTATGTTTTTATGTATCTCTTACATCCTATCCCTCCTGACTCCTGCATTATTTCTATATGCTCCCTTGCCCTTCTATTCCTTAACCTACTTAATTCTATTCTTCGAAGGATCCCTCCCTTATCCTCTCTCCCTGCCACTCTAAAGATATCTCCCTTATCCTCTACCCCCTCCCTATAATGTTGGCCTTATTTCTTTCCGATAGCCTTCTAAATTTTTATGTACCATTCCCTCTTTAACCCATTGCTAGTGAGAATAGGGTTCCAGAACTACCAGCCCTCCTTCCCTATCTAATTTCTTTGTGTCAATTCTTCCTCTTGCGCTTCATTTGTAAAAGATGATTACTCTTTTTTAGTTTTTCCTATATGGTTTTACTTTTTAAAATCACTTCATACTCAGCTCTGCCACAGTCTTTCTTTCGAACTACCCAATTAGTACTAACAATCTTAGGCATTTGTTTTACATTTCCACATA